TCGCAATCTGTGACGAATGCAGGCGAGAGCCAATGAGCGTTCGATTATCCTGCCGTAAAACCTGTCGTTTGAAGCGGCAACATTTGAATTTGTAAAGTGCTTTCTTTGCTGCTCACGGTCACTAGACTCGCTGCTCGGGATGTAGAAGATCGCCGAAAAAAAGGCTTGGATTTGTGTCTGTTCCTCGCAGTCGCATGGATTCGGAAGATTTGGATTACAGCGAACAAATAAAATTGTTTCATTTCGTAATTATGTTGTGTTTTTGGTGCATTTTTTAGTTCTATTGTCAGTCACAGCATGTCAGAGAAAACGCCTTTGGGGGCCCACAATCAAAGTAAACGTTACATGACAAGTAAAGGTTAAACGATTGCAGAAATGTTATTTATTTTAAGGTTTAAAGTGAAGTCGTGTTTAACATTATGAGCTGGCAGCGGAAATCACACAACAAAACGAAATGTTATCATTTTCTAAGTAAACGATTAAACAATTTAATAATGCAATTGAAAACAAGGTAATTCATATGACAACTAAAAACTAATACAATTAATGCCGCGATTTCAGTATTCATAAGGATTAATTTTTAGGTGTCGTCAATACGTCAATTTAGTACGTTTAAATGCTGAAAATACGTAAGTATTTGTACGTTTAGATGCTGGAAACACGTCAGTATTGTACGTTTTAGTGCCTGTAAAAACTTAAGTAAATGTACGTTTTATAGAACCACATTTTACGTAAAATACATACGAATTATCATGAGATCACGTTGGATAACTATAGTCAACCTTCACTGAATTTTATATAATCAATGAACTCTGAAAAAGTTATCAGTATAACTATAGTCAACCTTCATTGAATTTTATATAATCAATGAACTCTGAAAAAGTTATCAGTATAACTATAGTCAACCTTCATTGAATTTTATATAATCAATGAACTCTGAAAAAGTTATCAGTATAACTATAGTCAACCTTCATTGAATTTTATATAATCAATGAACTCAGTCAGTTGTCAGTCAGTGTTTAACATTCTATTAGTTGTCAAAATGAATTCATTGCAGCACTTTTGTCATACCTATATCGAGCTCTGTACAAAGGAAAATAATGCAAGAATGTAAAACAAGTTTTTTACATGCATTTAAATATGGTTTCATTTTCTTTTCATTTTCGTACTTAAAAAATTAAAAGTTTGTAAAAAATTAGTGCATATTTTCTAGTACATTTAACTGCGCCGTGCTCACATTTGGCCTACTTGTGCATTAAATTATAAATTAAAAAAAATACATAACCTGTCATCTTGCGCCCTATTGTGATCTCAAATTGCAGAATATTTCAGTAGGCTGCATGCATTTGAGAGACGTTCTTAAATGTAATGCACATGTTTTGCCATTTTAATCGCCATTTTGGTAATTTCGTGACTTAACTGACGATGTATGCTCACAGTTTCTAGTGCGGTTTATTTATGAAGTGAGCGTGTGCCTCATTTTCTCGTACAGTTGAAGAACATGCGCCGTGAGCACAGTAAAATGGCTGACTGGACAGGAAAGTTTTTTGCTGACATATAACAATATCTCATCAGACCGCAGTTCCCTGTTGTTCTACTGAAGCTCATTTGGCACATGTACCTTTTCCGCAATCGTTTGACTCGTGCGCTGAGGGAAAGCTGAAGTGCGCGTCTGAAAAGTCTCCCGTTTGTTGTGGTCGCAAAGAGATACGGCCGTTCCGCGTCTTAAGTTTTTAATAAATACATTTTTGAACTCATTAAAATGCTAAAAACCGTTAAATAAAAATGTTGCATTAATTATTTTTAATAACTAAGCTTTTGATTATTGAAGATTTTCACAGAATGATTTTGGCAAGATGGCGCCCCCCTATGTGTGGAGCCCCTATGCACTGCATATACTACATTCCCCGTTTTTGCGCCACTGATCAAACTCCGAGTTAGAACAGTGGATTGTAGTACACAGAGTACCTTAAACACACACAAAGAGGTTGCCAGAAGTCCACATCTGCCTTTCATCAGCATCAACAGTATAAAGGGCTCAGAGGAGGTGCTGCTGGACGAAATTTAACGCTGCACACACACACACAGAAAGTAAAGCTCTAACAGACTAAAAGCAGGTAACTCACATTAAGAGCTGGATGAACAACTCAAAAGTGAAACTCAGAACCAATCGCCTATAAAACCAACGATGTGCGCATGGAAAATGAAATAAGCTCAGGGCCACCAAACAGCAGAAAACGAACATGACAAATGGGCTTAGCAGGGATTCGATGAAACTTTAAAGAGATCCTTTTCACTCCATACGCTCATATTCCCATGGAAATTTGGCACGACACACAGCGGTCTCAGTCAGGATACTGATGCGTGATAAACTGCGATTTCAAAGCGGCTACCTGTGGAGTTTGCTCTGGTAGCTGCAGTTTCTCTGGAGCGTGTTGGGATCTGCAGGTGGTCATGTGTATCTGCACAGCTGCATAAGCATGTAATCAATCGCAGCGTTGCCTCCAGGCGCAGGTGGCCAAGGCTTTGCCAAAAACATGCTCTTTGCGCTCATACCAGTAGGTACACTGGGAAAATATGGAAGAGCATCCGGACATGCTGTCTTTCAGGCTCAAACATGTAGACTCACACGCATCCGCATGCTACCACCACACATGGCTCATCTGCTTCATAACCGCCGTCACGGGAGAGGAGCTGGAAAATATCAGCAGCTATTGCCTCCAGGCGCAGGTGGCCAAGGCTTTGCCAAAAACATGCTCTTTGCGCTCATACCAGTAGGTACACTGGGAAAATATGGAAGAGCATCCGGACATGCTGTCTTTCAGGCTCAAACATGTAGACTCACACGCATCCGCATGCTACCACCATCATCTGCTTCATAACCGCCGTCACGGGAGAGGAGCTGGAAAATATCAGCAGCTGACTGGCAGAAGTCAATAAGGTTTCTCATTTTCACTGAGTGAAGGTCTGCTGATGAATAGCTGATATTTAATCGCAGTGATGAGACACTTAGAGCTCCGCCGTTCTGTCTTATTACATTCTGTCCGCACTAGAAAGAGGCTTGAGCCCCCCTATCGTTTAGCGAATGCTTCATCAGCTGCTGAGTCCAGCTCACTTCAGCAGGGCTTCCTGTCCCAGCAGTAGATGGTTAAGCCATTCTCCCTCTCTCAAAACCATTCATCCATCTGATTCAGACCATCTGAAGCTTAACAGGACTAATTAAGGCACTGTTGTTGTGTTGGAAAGATAGCTGGGCTTTTAGAAGGACCCCTGTGGAGAGCTCTCTCTTGGATCAGGTGCAGATCCCAACACAGATCTGCTGGGTCTGGCAGCACTGCCATCGACATTTGGTTGGAAAGTATAGCTAACGCTAGTCCAAAAGAACGTTACTGAAGGAAAAATATTAAAAGAGACCTAACAAAAACTTAAAAGGAATAGTTCACACAAAAAATTACACTTCTGTCTTAATGTATTCACCCTAATGACTTTCTTCACAAAACACAAAAGGACACTTTATTCACTTTCATTCTATGGAATAAAGATGCAAAAGAAGTGAATGGTGACTGAGACTGTCAGTCCCTACCGTTCACACCTAACATATCCTTTTGTGTTTCACAGAGGGCCGTTTGAAACAATGTGAGAGTGAGTAAATGATGACACAATATTTATTTTTGAGTGAACTAATCCTCTAATTAGGTTATCTCATTTGGTCCAAGAGAAAAATGACTCAATGTATTAAAATCCCCTTTAAAAATCCCCTTCAAACCATTTGACATTAGTTTTCAGCCGAAAGAGATACAAGCAAGATAGTACGTCTACTCTGTGAAAGCAAAGTTATCTTTTACACGTATGTTTATTCATTCATAAAGCCCAAATTTCGAGGTTAATATTGTCATTCTGGATTTTTTTCCCCTGATTTGCGAAAATATGTTACCTATACAGGACTTTTTAAAAGGTTTACCTTAAAGATATTTCAATGTATCAGTGGTTGAAGTGAGTTGTATCAGTCAGATAGGTTAATAACTCGCTAAAGATAGTTTGAATGCAAATCTGTCTTTCAAATCGAGAAACACCAGCGAAGAGTGTAAAAATGTCATAAAGGCTATTAAAATATGAAAAATACACAATCTAATCGTGTATTCACATAAATAGGTGCAAACATACATTGATTATATATAACCTATACATTCTGTTCTGTATTTACTATTTCCGCTGATATTCTCCACGAGAGTCGCTGGAGGTGCTTTATGTGCCCGCGGCTGCACAATTACAGTCGTCAAGACTATGACACGAGAACACTACGACTGGAAAAACACCGTAAATGATGGGTTACGACTTTGTAGGTCAGAAATACTTCTATGGCGGTGTTTAAGGGTTAAGCGATAGGCGGCCTAATTTAGGATCCCGTTCGTGGCATGAAGATAATCTGCTGCGTAATTTATTCTAGAGTTTATATGTGCGTTTGTGAGGAAAATGCCCTGAATCTTACAAAAAAACAATGAACTGTATTACACAGCTAATTAAATAAATAAATAAACAAAATAGTGTTGTGAAAACGTGCAGTGGAGTCCAGTGTGAAGCGCGGCGTTTGTCGGAGCTCATGCCGAGCGCGCGTCACCTCCAGCGGCCAGGAGACTACCAACGAGACGAGACGAGACAAGGTGAGCTTTTACACATCACACTAAAACCTTCTGAGAGGCTCATCATCTTAGTTGTAGTTTTGATTTTGTTTTCTAATCTGTTTTTACCCTCTTTCCCCCGCCTTTTTTTGATTTTTTTTTTAGATAAGTATTGAATATCGTCCGTTTTGTCTGTCAGTTGTAAGGTACGGTAACAAACCTAAGCAGAATTCAATACAAATACCCAAAACGGCATTGAAACTGAAATATATCAATAATGTGGTTGCAGTGCCTTGTACAATATCACATAATAGCACACGCGTAAAATGGAAACCTATACTGATTCAGATAAAAACAAATGGCAAAACAATAAAAACTTACCCTCCTCTCCATAAACTAATGCCGCACACAAGACAAGTAAAGATCCACAGAGCTTTGTGAATAAATCCATTTTTTTCTGGGTGATGTTCACCCAGTGCGTGCAAATGAAATGCTGAAGTTCTTGTGATGTTCTTTGAAAATGTTCTTATCCACTGATGATGTATCCACTTGTGTCTTGAGTCTGATAACAATTTCTTCCGCCTGCTTTCTCAATGTGCTTTAAAATGCTGGATGCGTAAATTCAACCCAGACGTGGCTGTTTAACATCTCCAGTTATATCCTAAGCAAAAGCAACGACAACGAAATAAAACGGCGTAATAAAACTAAACAACTTTCTCTTTCAGACCGAAAACATATTTTGGCTTGATTTCCTCGAGCTATAGCAGCGAGTGAGTGAGTGAGGTGAGCGGCGCTTTCTCTCGCCTTCAAATCCAACTGACATGAAGCGTTTTCCCGGACTCGTCCTCACAGAATCCACCACCAAACGCTCTCGAATGGGAAACACTGGCCACGGCGGAAAACTGTCAGAAAAGGGCAGTTCGGATTAGGTCTTCTGTGCAGAGGGTCCGTAACTGAAGTCTTGTGATAGAGATACTCCGCGCGCTGTCTCTTTGGCACTGCGCGTCTTGCGCCGAGTCTTGCGCGGCAGCAGCATGTGGATGTAATAGCATTAAGGACGGGCGCAGCTATCGCATTACAGTCAGCACCTCGGCCCGCCTCTCCAGTCTCTGATTAAAGACCAGCCACTAGTCCCGCAGTTACGCTATAAAAAGGCGAGCGAGAGAAACACAAGCGCCCACAGCCACACGGGCTCGTCAAACGCTCGTAGCTGTGCGAAACTACAGGCTGGTTTGGAGAGTTTCTTCAAGTGGACGATGTATGCTGCTAACAATGGGTCATTGACCAATAATAATGTCCAAAATGATCAAATCATTTAAAAGTCCAGTTTAAATCATACGTGCCCAGATCTTAGAAAAGCAATCTTTGTATTCGTTTTGGTTTCGTGCATTAAATAATATATATATATATATATAGAGAGAGAGAGAGAGAGAGAGAGATAATGTGTAATTTCAAACAACCATGTAAAAATAAATAAATAATAATGCTAGTACTGAACTACATTCCTCGTGAGCACATTTGAGAGCACACAAGTTAATTATTATTTTTTAAGTTTATTTTATATTTTAGTAAAATATTTTAGTAAAAACAAAATTTGCATTGGCAAGAATCACATTTTTGATGTATTTTAAGACATTTTTAGAGTGGTTACTCCATTTGACATTAACAAAATATGCCTTAAAAATAAATAAAGTATTGTCATTATTTTATTATTTACATAACAAAATGGCTTCCTGCATGTTGGTTACACCACACTGATTTTGGTGATCAAAAGTGTTTTTCCAAATATAATATTTAACAAAAAATTGAGGAAGAAATAATGAAATACTATGTTAAGATTTTTTCTCTGCACAGTTGCACCACCTAGACATTTAAAAAAAATTATTCCTCAGAATCTGAAATAGAAGAGGTCTGAAATAGATCCAGACAAAAAAGTGTCACGTCATTGACCAAGATTTAGCAATAACACAAGGGAACAACAGAAGGATAATGATGTATAAGCTGCCATTATGTTTGACTGCGTGATACATGATTGATGATAGAAATGTAATGCTCTCCAGTTGACTTTAGGCAGAAAAGTGAAAATGCTGAGTTGAGCCATGCATTAGGTAAGGGAATGTGCATGGTAATGTGAGGCTGAGGTTGGATTAATGCAAATGTTTTGACAGCAGGCCAAGGAAAGATGAACAAGGGTATAGGGGTCAAACTTTTAGCAAGAATACAAGAAACTGAACAATCCAATGGTAAACATTCCATGACGACAGATGTTTGACAGAAACTAAAAACATCTGTTTTCCTTTCCTTGTGACTGATGCACTGTTGAAACCCCCCCCCCACACACACACACATAGTTAAATAAGAACAACAAGCAGAAGTTTGTGGTAGGATGTGTGGGACACTGAGAAAAGGAGAAGAGAAAGCAGAACTTGGGAAAAGCTATGTCCCTCTGGCTCTGCCCATCCAGAGTCCTTTAATTTAGGCCCCCTGCACTCAAAAACATATGAAGACCGAAATAAGACACTAAGGTAAAGAAAGAGTTTGGGGTTTAGAAAGAACGGCTAGAGTAGACCTCACCAACCACATTGTGCACATCAAAGCTTCGACATCCATGCGAGGAGCATGGAGCATACAGATCTCTTTAGATCCACCCAATACAGGGCCAATGACTAACTACAGTGGCTTTAATGACACAGCATTACCCTGCAGATCCCAAAATAAACTTCTCTTTCTCCAACTACCCTGTAGACGCTCTGCACACGCTCGACACAATGACAGCAGGCAGCTGGGGAAGCACGAGGAAGTTTTTCTTAGCATTTGATGCCTTGTCAGTTTCAGGTCATGTCTCATTGAAGTCAGATGATTAGTCATGTGTGGTGCCGTGCGTGAGCTGTTAATTCTGAGAATCATATTCACTCATGGAGGAAACAGGAAGTGCAGAAAACATGATTGTTTTTGTAAAACTGGACGTCTTTTCATCATAACCAACCACTCAATGAGATGTTTCATAGATCACTTGACAAGACCTCAATGACAGGCCGCTGTGCTCTTATCTCTCCGAGAGTACTGACTCCATCTCTCAGCTCATGAGACCATTGAACTATTTGACCTGGGGGCTTGAGACTGTCAACAGCAATACTTGATAAAGGTTGCTCTTTTACACTGTTTTTAGACCAGTCCTGTGGTGTCACCTATCACGGATGAGGTCAGAGTTTGGGTATAGTGAGGGCTGGTCTTGGATCAGGGTGAAATAACAGCTTCCCTTTGAAGTGTTGACAGGACTAGCCTGTGCTGTCCACACACACCTCGACCCACAGCAGACCTTGATCATCCATCTTATTGGCTAATGCCAGGCTGAGCATGAGGAGATCTCTGTAGAACAGTGGAGCCTCTGTGCATGGTGGCAGGGCTATCCACACTCTCAGCCTCACGGGGGAAGTGTTGAGTGTGTGAGTGCATGTGTGAGCTCTGAGGTCCCTGACGGCCATACAGGGAGGAAAGTCCCTGAGCTTAAGTCCTGCTCGAGCAAAAAAGCAGCCAATGCTGACACATCTGCTTGTTTACAGCTACCACTGTTGGCTTTATGTCTGGAAGGAAGAAAGTACAAGAAGAAGGTTACTGAAGACAAATATGTATATTTATGTTCACAAACAAAGAATAAAGGCATAAACAAGCAAGTGAATAAATAAATAAACAAACAAATAAATTAAATAAATTAAAACGGTCAGTTGGTGTAACTATCAAGTAAAAAGCACAAAAATTATTTTCTTGCACCATGAATCATGCAAGTTTACACAGCTTAAGTCATGATATAATCAAAGGAATTAAGTTAAGGAAATGCTCTAAAACACAAACCTGTCAAGTGGTGCAACCATAAAATAAAGAAAACTAAAATACTGTATTACGTGCGAGTCATGAAATACCAAGAATATTATATATAAGAAGTCATGAATATAAAGAAGTTTAAGGTTACTTCACTTAACCTGAACAAAACACGCCTTTTCATTAAAACATTTAATCAAAACCTGTGATACTTCTAAAAATAAATAAATAATAAATAAAAAGAACAGAACAGATTTAAATTAAGGAAATGCTTTAAAACGTAAAACTGTCAACTGGAGTAACCAAGTAAAAAGCACTAAAATATTTTTCTTGCACCTTGAATCATGCATGTTTATTCAATTTACGTCATGATAAAAATCACAAGAATATCAAGCCATTAATAAACACGTTTTCTTAAGGTTAATCAACATGACTTGAACAAAACATGTCTATTCATAAAATAATTCACCAAAATATGTGATATATTTTTTTGAAATACATGAAGAGAAAATAGGAAATCCTCAAAATAACAAAACTGTCAAGTGCTGCAACCATCAAGTAAAGCTAAACCTTGACCTCTTCAATATATCTGAAAGTGTGCTTTCATATACTTTAAAAATTGTTAATTGACACATCTCAACATAAATCATCAGGGACAGAGCTCTACAGCATGGGACCATAGTGGCTAAATGCTGATTTGCTACTCTTCAGCCATGTTTTAGATAGAAATAGCAGTTGGATGAACCGAGTGAGCTATCTTTAGTATATTTTGCAATAATTTGCTATGGTATGTAGGGCTAGCACCAAGACGACATTTAAAAATGAAGACGACAATCCTGAAATCAATCTAAAAAATACAAGTAGCCAAAAAAGGAATTTAAGTGCCAGAGTTATGTGATTCCTCAGTCTGGTGCGAGTCAGCATTTCTGCAGATTCATTCTGAACTCCTTGTAAGTTTGACAAAGCTCTTGGCAAGCCAGCCAAAACACTCCTGCAGCAGTCAAATGCCTGAATGAGTTTCTCACTGTCAGTGGGACAGTGGATTGCTCTAGACGTATCGCACAGATTAACACCCAGATCCAATTACCCTTGCTAAGCAAGCCCTGGGGCTAAATAGTGTACCACAGCTGGAACGGGCACCAGCGCTCTGCCAACATCAAGCCTGGAGGAGAAACACCCAAAGTGGGGCAAACAGCCTACACACAGGCCTAAAGCAGAACCAGAGTCAAATCTGTTTTCCTTAATATGAGCATCAACACAGAGAAGCTACCAGTATTTGCATGGAAGATGAATAGCAAATATGGTGTCCCTCACAAGGTTCACTCATTTTAATGGATCCATTTTACTGTGACCAAAAATGAAACTAGAATAACAATATGTCAACTTTGCTCGCCTGAAATATAGAGAAGCAACTCATTGCTGGAGAACTTTATTATGACTGGGTTATCCAAATTTAATTACAGAAAAATTATTTTGGATTTTTTCTTTTTTTGGGGTAAGACTGCTGATATCCATCATCTATGGTAAAATTATCTCCCTAACCTCATCTCCAGTTGACTCTCTTAAGCAAACCTGGGAGGTGGATTTAGGTGTCAACAAATCTGAGGACCAGTGGAAAAACATTCTTAGTTTAATTCATTCTTCTTCTATCTGTGCTAGTTCTAATACAATGTAAGTGCTTCACAGAGCTCACTTCACTAATGCTAAACTGGCCAAAATATTTCCTAACACAAGTAATGTCTGAAACAGATGTAAACAATCTCCAGCTGATCGTCTTCATATGTTCTGATCTTGCCCAATGCTAATGGACTACTGATCGGACACCACCATTGCCCCTAACACATTGACTGTCCTGTTTGGGCTTCCCGCAGCTTCAGTTGCACAATCTAGAGCGCACTGCATGATTGCCTTTACCACTTTGTTGGCTAGGCGTGCCATCCTCTTTAAATGGAAACCACCATCTCCACCATCACCTGAGGATTGGATACGAAAGGTATTGCAATGCATCTACCTTTAAAAAATTAGATACTCTTACAAAGGATCACTGAGGTCCACTTACAAAATCTGGAGCCCTATAATGGCTACTATTGAGAACCTTACTGTGACTTCTGAACCTTCTGATTAGACTCTTATCGGGGGACCACTCGACTAGACTCTTTTTTTGGGTTGTGGGTGTGTTTTTTTTTTTGTTGGTTTGATTTGTTTTGTTGTCTGCTTTTTCTATTACCAGACATCCGGTCTCATTTTGTAACTGATGTAATACATTTTTGCAGACATATAAAGGGTAATAAAAAAATTTAAAAATAATTTCAGTTTCATCACTAACATTCACTCATACCAAGTACATAATAAAGACTTTCATATTCATATTGTTACAAAGTAAACAAGCTA